CGCCCTTAAGACATGGCTCTTCCAACAAGCGGGATTGGCCTAGGGGAATTTTTAGTGGGGTTTTAAGAATAATTTTAAATTGACACAGGCCACATCAAATATTTCATTTTAATTAGGTTTTAAAGTGGGTATTTTTATCTTTGTATCTGTTTTACCAGGCTGTCAGCTGCCCTGAGTCCATAAGGAGAAGGGCGGGATAAAAATTCAAACAAATAAATAAAATAAATAAATAAAAATTAATTGTTCTGTCATGTACCCAGATCTTAGGACTCTATATATAGCGGGTGTGTGTGTTCTGTTTGCCAATCTACTGTAGACCATGCCATGTAATCTTGCAACATTCCAGAGTATGTATATTATTCCAATTTTAGCCTTAGGCTACTATCCTATGCTATTAAGTTCTAAATTGCCTAAATATGAATATCTTTACGTATGTGTGTGAAACCAGATGAAAGCTTTAACATTGTGAAAATGGAATTCATATCTTTTGATATGAAACAATCCCCAGTAAAATTTGTGATTACCCAAAAATGGTGTGGTAGAAGGGAAGAGAATTGCTGATATAAATAAGTATGTAGATTTCAGCACTATAGTATTTAAAAACTTATAATTCAGTTGGACAATCTAAGAAATTTACACTTATCTTCTATTGTCTCTTTCAGGTTCTACCTTCTTACCTGTTCTGGGGAGGGAGGCACGGCACAGTGATGTAACACATATTTTTTTTTTATAAAGAAAGTACTATCATAGTGTGAAAAGATCTTATCTTGAGACCTTCTAAAAGTATTCATAAACCATATAAATAGCAACGGGTTATACAAACTAGTGGGGTGATTTGGTATAAGGCAGCTTTCTATGTTTGTATTGCTAATACTTTAGAATAGTTTGTGATTGAACTATTCAACCCTTTGAACCAGGAATGCTAGATTTCAGTTTTGTTTTTTTACAAATACACTTTGCGCTGATTTCCATGTTGTGGTAACACACAGGAGTGGAACAGCTTAGCCCAGCCTGAAGGTTGTTGATAATGCTAGATGTTAGTGACCTTGCTTGATAAATTCATCAAACTACAAAAGACATCTGGAAGCTGAAGTAAATAAAAGCTACTATTTCTAAACTCCTGAAGTTAGCCTAGGATGTGTTTAAGTAGGAGACCAAAAAAATTAAGCAAAACAGCACAAAAGAACAGATGGACAATATTACATCTATCCATGAAATTTGGGCATTAAGTATTCTCTATAAAAAGTATTTTCTATAAAAAGATAATGCTTTTCAACAAGCATCCATAGAATGCTGTGTATTCTCAGTCAGACTTTTCACACTTGGAAATGCCAAAGGATGGATTTTTCTTTTTCTGGCAAAAGGAAATGGGAAGAAAGAAAATTTGCAGAAAAACATTACCCCCCCCCTGTAAACAGTGATTAATTTGATTCCTTTTCATCCAGGGAAGATTTCAGTTATCATTAAATCATTAGAGATGCTTGATCTAATTTCTGAACTAGAGGCAGTTTATGGAGTGACAAGTAGAAAGAGGGAGGTACGCTCTGAAGAGATGGCAGGAACATATGTTGGTTATTAAAGACAGATAAGAATCTGCAGGGTGCCTCTCTTACTTGTCTCTCTTAATCAGATATACAATTTGATATTTGTGTCTCCAGTGGAATTCTTTAAAGGAATACTGAGGGCTATTCAGAACTGAATGATAAATAATGGTCAGAACTACACATACAACACTATTTTGCCTAAGTCACAAATATCATCCTTTTCTCTGAAGGTTTTTTTGTAGGGGAGAATTTTAGATGATGTTTGATGAAAAATCTATAACTATTTTTTATGGTTCTTCTGATATGTGTTTATGGAAAAGACTGTAGATCAGATACTTGGGAAGTTTTGATGCCGAAAACTCCAAGTCATGTTGGAAAGTACTTTTGCTTTGCTGTTTTTTATTATAATCTGAACAAGCAGTATCATCCACAGGAAGGGAGGGTGATGTCAGGCTGATAATCAGCACCATTGCGATTTTAGGATTTTTTTTTAAATGGGACAATTCTAACCCTAATCCTGGACTGAAAAAAAAAACCCATTCATACAGTGCAAATTTAGGAAAGTAAAATTAATAAAAGTAAAAAAATGCTTTCATCAACTCATTATAATTAGCCAGTGACATATTCTGCAAAACAGAAGGAAGTATTACAGATCTTGTTTATGAATATTTTATTTTGTAATTTGCTAATTAATTTTATTTTTGACATCATAAATAGCTGTGCAGGAATTCTATAGTTGGTGCATGGTATTATTTTGTTAAAAAACTGAGAAGCACACAACATGCACTCATACTGATGTACAATCAAAGATGACATATGTTCTTGATAAAAATGACAAATGCAACTATATTCAGAGGAATAGAAGTACTGGGGGAAGAACCTCCTCTTATTCACATAGCTTACAACAAGCACGTTACTGAATTGTGTTTCCAGGCAACTGCATATTGCTAATTAGGAGTGATAAGAGAAAACCAAGCTACCATTGTCTCAGATTTTTTCAAGACCATAAAATGATGGTTTTAGAGGAAAGTACAAAAATGTGTAATTGTCTTCTTCCATATAATTATTATGAAGCTACCAATAGCACCTCAGTACAAAATATTTGTGACAATGGTTTGCCTCAAAAGCCAACATAATATCCCTCCATAATTTTGTAGTATCATTATTTGAGATGGTCTTGTACAATCAACCCATTGCTTTCCAGATCTGGTGGACAGCAGTTCTCATGATATATCAAACAATGTAGCCACAGTGGCTGGAAATGATCAAACACTATATTTTAGAAAGCACTAAATTGAAGAAGCTGGGATGGGGGGGGGATGAGAGATTTGATTCACTCCTTGTGAAATATTTGCATATCCTCTTTTGACTCAACAGTTCTTGTAGATGTT